TCTTATCGGAGGAGCCTTCCAAGGTTGATAGTGATGGTAGGGAATCGTACCATGATCCCCCTCTAAGTCGCAAAATTTTTCAAGGAATGCGAACTTCACGCTTGATCCTGGTTCCTATAGAAGACTCGTACATATTGTAGGTAAAATCTACTTGATAAATTCGTAGAGGTTGTAGTGATAAAATAAAGGATAAAGCATTTGCCGTTGATCAATCCCTTTTTGGGATGCGGCACGCATTCTACTTCCATTTGTACATTCGTAGTGGCGTTTGAATGCGATGTGGCCTATACAATGACTTGCAGCCGATGTACAAGTCAGTGTTTTTATCCTCCCAGACAAGTCTGGTACCAATTAACCGACCCCGGAGGGATGGAAGGCTTGGTTGGCCCGGGCGACTCACGACCCAGGATTTGATCCCGGACCGCTCGCGTGGTAAGCGTGCCACTTGCATTGCTACTCCACTTGGGAGAGAATGCGTGGTGCATTCCGAAAGGGATTGTCGGATGGACTATCTGGGGATGCTTACAAGTCGTTGCTGTTGTTGTTGGTCCTTCATCGTTCCATTCGCTAATCACTAAACATATTCAGACTCGAAAAGGACAAAGCACTACAGCAGCGCGAGATCGAGGAACTACAGTCAGCTATTGACAGCGAAGCGAAACAGAGACAGGTAACACAGTTTTGAGATTATCTCACCAATATAGAAAAGTACAGGAGTATTCAAAGATGATTCGTTTGAACTGGCTAAGCCATCCGCTTCAAATGCACTGTTCTATAGTCAACATATTTATTTCGATTTTCAGAACATGGAGCGTCTTGCCAAACAGCTTGAAGTGCAACTCACGGACATGACGCTAAAGAGTGACGAACAGGCTCGTAGCATTCAGGAGCTAACCATGTACAGAGGAAAACTGCAGGCTGAAAATACCGAATTAAACAGGTGAAATGCTGAAGGATTTCTGGACCATTGAGTTTTGCTATCGAAACTTTGAAATTTGATATTACAGAGAATTTATTGGGTCTTATGAAGCATTGCGGATGACCTGATTGATTTGGTATTACGTGGTAAATTAGGTGAACGTAACGGATGAGCCGAAACTGCTGTCGAGCCTCACTAACTTTTGTGCATTATACTTGCGTGATGGAAAAGAGCCCCATCTTGACAAAGCGCTGATCCATTGTTAGGCACTCAACAGTGGCAGTAACCATGTTTTACACTCGGATAGCGTAGACTGTCGCTGTTACCGCGGTATCCGTGGTAAGATCTCGAAATGTGCAGGGCAAAATTCCTCCAACAGTTTTGGAAATTCAGCTACGTGAAATTCAATTTTGCCTAAGGCGGAAGTGATTCTACTACAGATAATAGCTACCAACGCGCTCTTGTACTGTTTATGTAGAGTACCCAGCTTATAATCCCCCAGATGCTAGCAAACGAGGACAACATATCAAAAACTGACACGCGGTTGTACGTCTCTTTTATCCGATTCACTGAGTTAAAGCTACGGGTCGAGATAGGCGTCAAGAGGTAGAACCTGCTAGAAAAAGATCTCCAAGCGCAGGAGTCGCGGCACTGTCACGACTCGAAAGTGCGCAGCAATGGCGCTGAGGCCATGTCTTGAACGCTGTCTGCATTGCCGCACCATCATTCGCAGCATGCGTAGCTTTTCCGCCCTCGCGCGTGCGACGGTTTTCCCTCTCCTGCAGCGCTATGTGTCTCCACCATACTACGGCCGCCTCACAAGGGAACTTGTGTGTTTTCTATGGCACTTTTTGCTTTTTCTCCCCACTCATGTTCCTCATTGCATTTCTTGCGTAATTTTCGAATGTAATAAGACACCAACTCAATTTCGACCCGTGCCTTGAATAAGTTCAACTGAGGCTCTTTTTGAAATCCAAGACCACCCAAGCATGCGCCATTAAACCGTGATGTCGTAATGCATCAATTATTGCAAAGATCATCATGGGACAATCTCCAATCAAGTTCCAGAACTTCAAGGACTTCTTTAATTTTGATGACCGTCGAGTTACCCAAAGGCGGTAGAAGAGCAAAACTCGTTAGATCCTAAACTTGTTTCTTAATGGGTCTTTTATGATTGAGCAGTGCCCCCTTGCATTTCTCTTGAGTGAATAATTCAGGCAACTGGAAGATGCCGAGTCACAACTGAACTCTCTCACTCGTATCAAGCAACAGCTTCATGCTCAGGCTGAAGAAGCTCGGAAGCAAATCGAACAGGAAACGAGGGAAAAGCAGGGACTACAGTTGCAGGTACATGAATGAAAATAGAAAGCGTTCAACTTCGCCCAATATAGCGTTCCTGATGATGCCTACATTCATTTTAGCGGTGGCGCTATCTGGTGCCAGTTGGCGTCACCTCACGATTCTTGCTTTCACCAAAATCGGAGTAAACTTCCGTATAAGGGTTATTTGGTGCCCTACAATATTTCTCGGTTAGAGAGCGCACATGAGCAGAAAATAGGTGCCAAATAGCGCCAGAATGGGTGACTAATGTCATATTCGTAATTTTTTCACGGTAGTTTCTAAGGCGTACAAAATTACACTGCACGAGCTGCACAGCCTTTACGTGATATCGGCGCGGGTTTATCTATCAGAAATTAGGGATAATAGTCAGCAAGATGTTGGATTCACCTTATGTGTACAGTTCCCAAGAAATCATGTGTCTTGTTCTCCTTCCCTCATTTTACAGTATTTCTAGTTATCCAATTATCAATTGGAATGTGAGCAACTACGGGAGAATCTGGAAGAGGAGCAGGACACTAAGACAGAGCTGCAGCGCCTGATCAGGTTTGGACTCTTCGGGATCATTAAAATATTATGAATTTGCTTACAGCTGTTTATGCTAGAGCAGCCGTTGAACATTTGCTGATGACAGCATATTCATCTCTGACAACGATATTTCCAGCAAAGCAAATGCTGAAGCTCAGCAGTGGCGTGCGCGATACGAGGGTGAGGGTATGAGTAGAGCTGAAGAATTGGAAGAAGCAAGACGGAAGCTGGCCAACAAAGTGAGGCACTATGTTGGCTCTGATATGGCAGTTTCTGAGTGAGCTTATGTCAGAGCAAATTAAATAATTTCCTCCAGGTTCAAGAGGTTCAAGACAATGGAAAGTGCTAATCCAAGAAATTCCGGCTCCTTGAGAAAGAGCCAGAAAGCAGTAGGCTCGTTGCACGAATTGAGGACGCGCAAGTACGACGCGCTCGAGTCAGTTGAAGACTGCTTGTCAGGCGTTTTATTTCTTGACATTCAATTCGTCCTCATTGCGTTGTGACCTATCACATGGCGTATCCCGCTGTAATCTTCGAAGAATGAGATGTGCGGCGCCTCGACTGTGGCCCCTTACGAGTAAAGATTTTAGCTGAGGCTGCACGCACTTTAGGCCGAGGATTAGGAATAAGGTACGGAGAAAGTGAAACGTCTACTTAGTAGATTTAACCTGGCGACCCTCTACGGGTGCAGCACACTGCGCGCCGATCCGCAGGCGAAGGGTATGCCCCCGGCGACTAGCATGGCCGTCCCTGAGCTGCTAGCGCCGTGGCACGCCTCGAGCCGTCTAATACTAGCCGTTCAGCAGATGGAGCGTACATAGGTTGAGAGGGCAGCACGATGAGAGTCGCCAAAGAGTCGCCAACGTCAACCCAACGAGGAAGGAAGGGTCTCATTCATCGGATTCTGGTCCGTTTCTTATGGTTTTTTCTCATCCCTGCACCACAGACCCTCTATACCCTAAATTTTTAATGAGCTGGCTTTTTATCGCGAGCTCCGTCTTTGAGGGAGAAACGCCAAAACTCGTGAGAAGGCGGAGAAACCGTACGAATAGAGAAAAAGTGGTCGATAATAAAGACGGCGATGCCATTGCTCCAGCTTTTTTTTATTTTGGCTTCTTGTTCATTAGGGTCTCTTATTCCACGCACTGGCGTGCACCGGGGTTCCTCCTTGGAGGCAGCGATTAACACGGTTGGGGTCGGTACGGTTTAATGAGGTCGTTAAATGTTAATGCTGGACGTGTAAGAGTGGTTCCAATCCTAGCGTACTGAAAGGTTTAGCCCACCAATGAGGTTCAATGACGTCATCGATACAGCACCTCCTCCAGCCATGTGTTCACTGCCTTTAAGTTCTCGTGTTGTGTGAGTAACAAGCAGCCTGTTATTAGAGTAGTTATGCAACGAACTCTCCAACACGATCTCGCGTACGGGAAGATTGACTAAGGTTATCAAAATGTTCTGCTTTATGTAAAAACAATAAACTGAAAAGGATTTTAGGCAAATGCGATAGCGAGCTCACTGGAGAAGAAACAGAAAGGCTTCGATAAAGTTATCGACGAGTGGCGGCGAAAGTGTGAAGCGCTTGTTCAAGAGGTTGAATCCAGTCAACGTGACACACGCGCAGCAGCGACAGAAGCGATGCGACTCCGCAATCAGCTTGAAGAAGCCTCTGAGCAGGTATCTGTATTCTTGTCTACAGAAGTGTTGTTTTATTTGAACCCGTTTCGATATGCTAAGCTAATTAATGGGCATTTAGGTCGAGGCTATTCGACGTGAGAACAAGTCACTTGCACAGGAACTAAAAGACATTACCGATCAACTTGGTGAAGGTGGCAAGAGCGTGCACGACCTTCAGAAGGCTAGAAGACGTCTGGAGCTTGAGAAAGAAGAACTGCGGGTACGTGAGCCGTTATAGACTGTTTTTAGTTATTATGAAGCTGCTTTTGTCTGAGCCAAACTGTGCGGCATCGAAAGGGCGGACAATCTGCAGTAAACCCATGTGTGAAATTCAATTGAAATGATTACGTAAACTCTTCTAGCCGATTTCAGCAAGCTCTTGATGAATCTGAAGCCGCACTGGAAGCAGAGGAATCTAAGTTCCTTCGGGCGCAAGTGGAGGTGTCGCAGATCCGATCTGAAATAGAAAAACGTCTTCAAGAGAAAGTTCGTTTCTGCTTCCTTTTTATATACGTCCTAGATAACCTTAGCTTACAGAGTTGTTATTACTTGGTTTGGTATAGCTGTTGCTCAGTGTTTGCACTATTGGCAGCATCAAGTACTGCCTATGTCAACGGATGTTCCTGGCTCGGAGAACGGCTGACTAGCAACACGCGCCGGGATAAGTCTGGGTCGGGATGAGTCTGGCCCTGCGCTCTTCCCAAGCACATTAAAGGCTGGTTACGATAGG